CAGTCCAGAGGAACTGGTTGGCCACTGTGTGAGAACTAGATGGGCCACTGGTTTGATCCAACAGGGCCAGTTTGGTGTACTGGTTAAGTGCACAGACTCTAATCTGGGAGAACTGGGTTTGATTCCCCATGCCTCCACTTGCAGCTGCTGGATGACCTTGGGCAAGCCATAGTTCTGTCAGAGCTGTTCTCTGGACAGTTCTATCTGAGCCCCACCTACCTCACGAGGTGTTTGTTGTGGGGAGGGGAAGGGAAAGGAGTTTGTAAGCTGCTCTGAGACTCCGAGTGAAGGACGGGGTATAAATCCAATCTCCTCCTCCTCCTCCATCTTCTTGTTCCAACTCTGGGATATACATGTTACCCCCTTCAAACAAGTTGTCAATTGCACATATCAGGAAGACTGTGTGTCATCTGTTCTCCTCGTATGCGTTGTCAAGCATAAGGACTGAAAAGCGATAAGGATACCTGTGATTCCTGATGGAAGGGGACTTGTTGCTATGGAGTTAAGTCCTTCTGGTGATCCTGGCTCTTACCAAGACTCTGCCTACAGTATAAGATGCCTTCTACTGAATCAGACCTTTGGTCCCTCAAAGACAGTGTTGTCTACTCGGACTGGCAGCTGCCTTCCAAGGCAGAAGTCTTTCACATCATCTACTGCCTGGTCCTTTGAGCTGGAGATGCTGGGAACTGAACAATGTGGGGCTCTTCTATACACCACCTGGGCCACGGCCCCTCCCCAGGAATGTAGCCCTGCCCTGCATGCCCTGCCCTTCTGCTTGGCATGCTTCCGTGCTTCGGGGGGGGGGGGTGTCCTTTGTTGTGGTGACCTGAAGCCCCGGGGAAACAAACGGAAAGTGCACACGACCCCCAAATTTAGAAAGTTTTTCAAAGTCTTCAAACGATGCAGATAGGAATGCGAAGACTTGACGCAATCCTCGGAGATGACTTGTGGGACCGAAACACAATAATCCGTTCCCTGCGTAAACCGGGACGGGCGTCATTTTCAATGTGGTTACTATTTTAAAGTCTGTCTATTCAACGCCGTGGCCGTCGAGTCCTAGCTGTCTTTCTTGATTGCAAGGATTCGAGGAGGCAGGAAGAAAGATACGCAGCTGCTCCCGGGGAGCTCTACGCCGTCTCTGTCTTCCGCCACGTTCGCCAGCCCGTTGTTCGCTTCCGCAGTCCTTGTTGGACTGGAGCCCAGAAGCATCACTTTCCTCCGTGGCCGCCACAATGGGGACAGGTGGGCAGAGAGCCTGAAATCGCATGGCACCACAGCTTACAATTGATCATCATTAGGCCTATTTTTAGGCCCATCATTAACGCCAGTGAGTGTTGCTGTCCCCATGGAAACGTCCACTTTTGACTCCTGATTCTGTGCCACAGGTTCTGTCTCCGAGTTGCTGGTGGAGTCACTCTACCCTTTTCCAAGGGTACCGGTGTCATTTGATAGGACTTTGTGGGCCCTGTCCTGCGACTTTGACCCAGTTTGGTGTCGTGGTTAAGTGCGCGGACTCTAATCTGGGAGAACCGGGTTTGATTCCCCACTCCTCCACATGCAGCTGCTGCTATGACCTTGGGTCAGTCACGTGTTCTCTCAGAGCTGTTCTCTCAAGGGCAGTTCTCTGGAGAGCTCTCTCAGCCCCACCTACCTCACAGGGTGTCTGTTGTGGGAAGGGGAAGGAGTTTGTAAGCTGCTCTGAGACTCTGAGTGAAAGATGGAGTATAAATCCAGTCTCCTCCTCCTCCTCTTCTTATAGAATCATAGAATCATAGAATGTTAGAGTTGGAAGGAACCTTGCAGGCCATCTAATCCAACCCCCTGCACTCTGCAGGAGCATAGCTGAAAGACAGCCCTACAACACACCCAAAATATGATCATCCAGCCTCCGCTTGAAAACGTCCAGCGGGGGAGCATCCACCACCTCCCGAGGCAGACTGTTCCGCTGCTCAACCACTCTTACAGTTAAGAAGTTTCTCCTGATATTTAGCTGTTAATGACTCTCTTCTTCTTCTTCGGCACACTCTGGCCGTGTGCTGGATTCTATCAGGAGCAAATGCATTGAAACCTACAGTGGAGCATGGTTCCCTCTAAGCTGAGTAAGTGTGAGCTAGCTCACAGTTTTTTAGCCTCCGGCTCATACATTTTTGTCTTCACTCAGGAAGGATGGCTCCAGAGCAAACTAATTTATGCAGCAGTCAAATCACTTGCTCACAACTTTAATGCCAGTAGCTCACAAAGTAGATTTTTTGCTCACAAGGCTCCACAGCTTAGAGGGAACATTGCAGTGGAGATAAACCTCTTATTGACACCGTTATATTGAGACAGCCACTTATGGGTTGTAAATACTCTTTAGCTGCTTCAGTGTTTGGGGGAGCCGCACCTGTTGAATTTGTGCCTCAGCCCAGTGTCTTGCTGGAAGACGGAGACACACACACTAAAGTAACGCACTCCCAATCCACTTCCAATGCACTTTGAGACTGGATTTTACTGTGTGAAATGGCAAAATCCACTTCCAAACGGTCACTGAAGTGGATTGAAACGGCATTATTTAGCATGTGTGAAAGCGTCCCAGGTGTTGGGAGCCACAGCCTAACTTCAAGGCAAGCATGGCGCGCCAGGCTGTGCATCATGTTTGCTGTTTAGAGGGCATGGCGTAATTCACAGTCTCTTGCTTTCCGAGCATGGGGGTCTAAGCCAGAGGCTTAACTCTCCTCTTCAGGGGAAGGTTTGTTCCCTCTTAAATCGTTCCAGAGGGCAGCCCTGTTGCTCAGCAGTAGAACAGCTCAGTTTGCATCCAGAAGCAATTGAGAAACCCACAAGATCTTCGGGATAGAAGCTTTCAAGAGTCAGAGCTCCCTTTGTCAGATAACTTAAACTCCCAAAAATTTATAGCCCCAAACTCTGTTTGGTCTCTAAGGTGCTACTGGACTCGAGTCGAGCTGTTTGCCCTGGCATGTATCTGCATGAGTTTAATAAAACCGGATCTCCGAAGGGAAAAGATCCTTCCCCAAAATGTTCAGGTCTAAACTTCAGCTGATCTGAAGTTGCTTTGCTTGTCATATTTTATCCCACCTGGCTTCCGAGGAGCTCACGGCAAAGTCCGTGTGGCTCATCCTATTTTATCCTCACAACAACTCTGTGAGGCTGGCCAAGCTAAACTGGGTGAGTATGACTAGAAGAGGAAGAAGGAGATTGGATTTATACCCCGCCCTTCACTCAGAGACTCAGAGCGGCTTACGGACTCCTTTCCCTCCCCCTCCCCACAACAGACACCCTGTGAGGTGGGCGGGGCTGAGAGAGCTCTCCAGAGAACTGCCCTTGAGAGAACAGCTCTGAGAGAACTCGTGACTGACCAGCAGGTGCAAGTGGAGGAGTGGGGAATCAAACCCGGTTCTCCCAGATTAGAGTCCACACACTTAACCACAACACCAAACTGGCTCTCCCCAAATCACCCAGGTTGCTCTGCCGCTGAACAATTATTCAAGCCTTAGATTTCATGGTTTAAGTCTAGCTCTTTGTCACATGCATCACACTGGATTGGGAGAGGAGGGGGGTGTAGATCAGTGGACGAGCATCTGATTTGCACGCAGAAGAAAATTAATTATCGTATGGCATTGTGTGCAGGATACTCAGGAGATTCTAAGATTGTCTGGCAGCCAGATGTTCTAGCTCTTTTAGCATTATACGCCATTAGGTGGCGCACTAAAGGCAAGAGACATTTCGGAGGTGGGTTGCCATTGCCTGCCTCTGCATCACGACCCTGGTATTCCTTGGATGTCACCCTTCTGAATACTAGCCAAGGCTGACCCTGCTTAGCTTCCGAGATCTGATGAGATTGGGCTAGCCAGGGTTATCCAGGTCAGGGCACGTGCAGAAGATCACCCTAGCTACCTGGCCTATTTAATTGGAGGTGCTGGGAATTGAACTGTAGATCTTTTGCATGCAGAAGATCTAAGGTTCAGTTCCAACACCTCCAGTTAAATGGGCCATACGGGGTTGTTGTGAAAGATCTGGGCTTGAGACAACACTGACCCTGATAGGCTAAAGGTATTTCTCATTAGTATGGTGGTAAGTATCCCCCCCCCCCCGACACACACACACACCCCATGTGGAAGTTCAGGGTTTGATTTCCCAACAGGGAGGCTAGTTTATTTGGGAAGTGTCATGGCTCAGAGAGACAGCATCTGCTGGACATGCGGAAGGTCAGAAAAGGGCAACTAGAATGATAAAAGGGTTGGAACACTTTCCCTATGAGGAAAGGTTAAAGCGCTTGGGGCTCTTTAGCTTGGAGAACCGACGACTGAGGGGTGACATGATTGAGGTTTACAAGATTATGCATGGGAAAGAGCAGGTAGAGAAAGAGGTACTTTTCTCCCTTTCTCACAATACAAGAACTCGTGGGCACTCCATGAAACTGCTGAGCGGTCGGGTTAGAACGGATAAAAGGAAGTCCTTCTTCACCCAAAGAGTGATTCATACATGGAATTCACTGCCACAGGAAGTGGCGGCGACTACAAGCATGGACGGCTTCAAAAGGGAATTAGATAAGCATCTGGAGCAGAGGTCCATCAGTGGCTATTAGCCACAAGGTATAGATAGGGACTCTGGGGCAGGTGATGCTCTGTCATCTTGGTGCTTGGGGGGGGGGCAACAGTGGGAGGGCTTCTAATGTCCTGGCCCCACTGGTGGACCTCCTGAGGGCACCTGGTATTTCTGGCCCCTGTGTGATACAGAGTGTTGGACTAGATGGGCCTTTGGCCTGATCCAACATTGGCATCTCTTATGTTCTTATGTTATGTTATGTTCTTAAGGTCCCAGGTTCAATCCCTGGCATCTCCAGTGAAAAGTATGAGGCATTCGGTGATACGGAAGACCTCCGCCAGAGACCCTGGAGAGCCACAGCCCATCAGAGCAGACAATACTGACCTTGATGGAGCAATGGTCTTGATGAGGCGGCTTCCTGTGTGAGGTAACACTTGGTTGTTGCTCCACTGGATGGAGCTGTGGCTTAGTGGTAGAGCGTTTGCTTGACAAGCAGAAGGTCCCCAGTTCAATCCCCGGCACCTCCAGTTAAAAGGCCATGGCGGTAGCTGATTGGCAGGCCGCTGGCAGTCTGAGCAGCCAAGACTCACCTTGACGGATCAATGGTCTGATTCAGTATAAGGCTGCTTCACAGGTTCATGTCTGATCCCTCTTGGAGTATCCACTGGTCTGCACATGTTTATGGGATGCCATCATTCCGAGTCACCCACTGACACTAACATAAAACAGTACAGAGTTCTTTTTAAAATTGGCGGCGAAAGAACTATTGGATCCAACTATTGCAGCCGACTTCTGGCGACCCCCTTTTCAAGGCAGGAGACGAACAGAGGTGGGGTTGCCATGGCAGCCCTGGGCTTCCTGGGTGGTCTCCTGTCCAAGAACTGACTAAGGCCAACCCTGCTTAGCTTCTGAGATCAGAGAAGTTCAGGCCATCAAGGTCATTTAAGATTAAATGACCACTTTTCTAGTGGCTATAGTGAGAGCCAGTTTGGCAAAGTGGTTAAGTGTGCGGACTCTTATCTGGGAGAACGGGGTTTGATTCCCCCGCTCCTCCACATGCAGCTGCTGGATGACCTTGGGTCAGTCACAAGTTCTCTTGGAGCTGTTCTCACAGGAGCAGTTCTCAAAAGAGCTCAGCCCCACCTACCTCACAGAGTGTCTGTTGTGGGGAGGGGAAGGGAAAGGAGTTTTAAGCTGCTCTGAGACTCCGAATGAAGGGCAGGGTATAAATCCAATCTCCTCCTCTTCCTCTTCCTCCTCCTCTTCTTCTTCTGTAGCTCATGCTTGAAATTCTTTGATCTGCAGTGGTTCCAGTTTTGCCTGCAGAACATTGCTAGAGCTCTCTACTCCTTGTTCTGATGGCGGTTAAGGAGGGAAATGTTTGCTTGAGAAGATGGGATCAAGGTTTGCTGTTCCTTGGGCTCTGCCAAGCCTTGGATGGCACCTGCAGCGCCGTCCTTAGCATTTTCATTGTCCCGACATGGATAAAAGACAGGGATTGCTTCCTGACCCAACCGCTGACATGGCCTCCTTCATAAAAAAAATGGGCATAAGGAGGCCTGGTGTGCCGAGAGAGGACATCTCATTTACAGTTTCCTGCTGGAGCTCTTGTACTTTCAGCAGCTCATCAAAACAGCTATCACAGGCGCGGCGAGAAGGAGCCGATGTAGGCGTTGGACGCTGCAGATTAGATTTTGTTCACACACATTGGCAATTTGCTTCAGTCCAATGACTTGGTGAGGCCAAATTCCCCAAGGGCCTCCCGAAATAGTGAGCAAGAAAAGAGAATCTTTTTGCATCTCTGAGAGGGCATGCGGGAATATGTCACTTGCAATTTGGGGTCTCCATATCTCTCTCCGTCTGCTTCTCCGAAGACGCAGCATCCCTGAATCTATCTGCAAACTGTTCTTTTTCTCTCTCCTCCCTCCCTTAGACTTTCCACAATGCAAACAGATTTTTTCCCTGAGTTCTAGTTCATATAAAAAAAGAAATGGAAGGGAAGAGAGAGAACTGAAGTTTATATATACAAGATCAGACAAAATCTCATTATCTCTCAAACCACCTGGATTCCTGGGTTCGCTAATTCCTACTCCACATTCAGCTTCTTGGTCAAGGTTCTTGAATGAGATGCACGAAACATGGGAGGGGAAAGCCCATTAATAGCAATCCGAGTCTATTACCCAGAATTAAAGTGACTTTTTTAGGGAGCTGCGGTGGCTCAAGTGGTTAAGACGCTGAACTGCAGGCTGTCGAAGGTCAGTAGTTCGAGACCTGAGTTGCCGCATGACTGAGTGAGCTCCCGTCTCTAGTTCCAGCTCCTGCCAACCTAGCAGTTCGAAAGCAAGAAATGGCAAGTAGATAAATAGGTACCACTTAGGTGGGAAGGTAACAGCATTCCGTGCGCCTTGGTGTTTAGTCATGCCGGCCACATGACCACGGAAAACGTCTTCGGACAGCGCTGGCTCTTTGGCTTTGAAATGGAGATGAGCACCGCAACCCTAGAGTCGGACTCGATTGGCTTTCGAGCAAGGGAACCTTTACCTTTTTAAAATGACTTTGCAGGTTAGCAAAAATAAAATGGCAGATAAATTGCTGTGCAAAGTGGGAGAAAGAAGCATAGCCAGTTCTTGTTGTCCCTCCTACCCACAAGCCACAGTAACAGTTGCGGGTCGGCAAGCAGAAAACCTCCAGGTCAAATCTGCCCAAGCTCCCCCACCCAACTGCCTCCATTCCTTGACAGGAACAGACACTTCGGGCAGTGGGGATGGGAGGAAATGAGGTAGGGTGATTTGGGGAGTGGACCCATCCTGGGGAGGGTTAA